CCCCAAAGTTGGCTATCCTGGGCACCTTGAGCAGAGCCCCGTTGAGCTCATAAGCCAGGGGAAGTTGTTCCTCACGTCAGATTCAGTCTCCCCTACGATAAACAGAAGCCCATTTCCTCTTGTTGTAGCCCCTGTGCTCAGAGACACTGTTCCATCCCTCCTGCTGACATATACACACCCATACCAGTGAATCAAAACGTCCCAGATGGGTAGCCAGTACAGGAGTCCTGCCTCAGCCTCAGCCTCGGTCTCTGACTGAATTCCCTTATTCTTTCCTTGTAAGGTGCTTGCCTGTCCTCTCCCCTGGGTACACTCGGCCTTTCCCGTCTCTTCTTGGAGGTTTCTAGATTGACCCAGGTTGCTTTCACTCCAGACTCTTAGCAGGCTTCTGGTCAGGCTGTGGTCCACTTTGGCCCTCTGTTTTGTTTTGTTTTGTTTTGTTTTCCCTATACTTGATATCTAACCCATCCTTCCCACACTTGCCTCTCTGGAGTTGGTTTTTGATCCTGAAGCAAGGTAGGAGGAAGAAAGGCCCACACCTTACACTTTACTATACAGGCTAGGCTCTCTGATGGGTGTTTCTTTTCCTTTTTTTTTTTTTTTTACAGGGTGTGTATGTCATTTTAGTAGCTCATGATTTTGCAAAGCAAAATATTGTTACCCATAATTCACAAATGATGAAACTGAAATTGGGAGGTGAAGTGATTGCATGTCACTCATCTAGCAAGTGGCAAAGCCATGGTTTGAACCCAGGACTGACTACAGAACACACTGTATCTTTTACCTGTGACCTCCCATCAGTCAAAAGAGACAGGTGCTGGTGAGATTAGACAAAGGTCTACTGGTTCCAAGACCAGCACCCCACCACTGAGATGAGGATCCCACCCACTTGATTGATCTTTTCCCCATTAAATTTCAACCAATTTCAGTAGGTCCATTTCCCCAATTGGTCAAGGTCATCTTTTCCCAAGAGAATTGATAATTCCCCATAACTTAGCATCTTTCGCAAATTCAGTGAGCATCTATGTGATTCCATCATACGGTTTGTCCATAACCACCAGGCCAGATGGGCTGGAGGACTCATCCTGGGTTTTCTGCTCCTTACATCCTTGTTGTCTCCCTTATCTCTTTACTTTTCCATCCTTTCAACCCACGAGGGCTTGTTCTAGTCAATGGCCCAGATTTGAGCTTCTCTGAATGTGTTGAATATTAGGGTGCCTCTCTGCTCTCACCTTTCTGGCTGGCCTCATTCCCTTTATTCATTCAGCAAACATTTGTGGGTACTTGTGCACGTGGGAACCAGCCAACCCTGTGTGTCTGGTCCACCAGGGGGCACTGTTGTTGTTATTGGGTGCCTTTCAGTTGCTTTTGACTGATAGCGATCCCGTGTGACACACTACAACTGCCCTGTAGGATTTTCTAAACTGTAATCTTCACTAGAACAGGACACCATGTTTTTCTTCCATGGAGTCTCTGCGTGAATTCTGACCACAAACATTACAGTTAGTAGTCAAACGTGTTAACCATTTACACCATCCAGGGACTCCTCTTCTTTTGGCTAATGTATCTTGAAACTTGTTTTTGCTACTTCCGACTCATCCTCCTAAACATGATTGTCCTAGGTCAGCCTCTGGGCTGGTTCCACCAGGAATGGTAGTCGAATTGGACCTGATACACATTCCCAAAGTCCTCCTGTCTCATCCAGCTAGTGTGGTGGGCCTGACCTTGGCAGCACAGTGCTGCCATCTTGGGGTTGAGGGCTCCAGGGAGCACCCAGTTACCACATTTGCAACTCCCTGATCGCATGTGCTGCCTATGTGGGTTGTCGGCTGGGCTTTGGTCAAACACCTTGTCCCACTCAGCCAGAAGAACTTTTTCTAAATAGGTAAATTCACAGTAATCAATACTCACTCTTCACTAAATCCTTTCTTTTTTTCCAGGGCCCAGTATCTTAAAATATTCTCTTGCCTAAAGTTAGTCATGGGTTTTTTGTTTTGTTTTGTTTTTTAGTATTGACAACTTCTCTCTTCCATTTTCTGGTGGTGTCACCAAGGACTCACTGACCTGTCCTTTCCCCACCTCTTTCTTCCTCAGTTGTTTATTAAGTGAAGTACATTAGTCTTTGGAGTCTAAAAAACCCTCTTTTGTTGTCACTATGAAACTTAATCCTCACCACAATGAAAACAAACGACAAAAAAAAAAAAAATCCACAGCCATCGAGTCAATTCTGACTCATAGCAATCCCCATTGAGTTTCCAAGATAGTAAACCATTGTGGTAGTAGATTGCCCCATCTTCCTTCTACAGAGCAGCTGGTGGGTTTGAATCATCAACCTTCTGGTTAGCAGTCAAATGCCTTAGGCACTGTGCCACCAGAGCTTCTTCACCACAATGAAAGACAGGTATTAATGGGCCCATTTTACTGATGAGGAAAGTTGATTGGCTGAGGTTATGTGGCCCATAATTAGCACTGTTGGGTCTTGAACCGGGAACCTGCTATTCTCTACCTACACTCTGACCCACGGCCTCTAGGCCTCACCCCTCTCCTAGCTACATCAGGGAGCAGGTTGAGAAGGATCACATGTGCCTACCATTGCCTCAGCCAGGACCTGGGTGGAGGAGCCTGCACACCTGGCTTTAACATACTTGTATCCTCGAAGGCTCAGCCCCCTGCCACCAAGTAACAGGTGTGTCTTGAGACAAAATTAACATTTAGCTAGTGCTGTGGGCAGTGTAAACATGTCCCACACTTATTAGCTAATTCTCCCAAACACACCTTGTGAGATCAGAAAGGGCTGAAGCTGCCTCTATGTACTGACACTGAGTGCCTCGTGGGAAATAGTATCTCAAAACTTCCTGCCTATTTGAATCCAGGAGAATAATAATACTTACTATTCCAAAAAACCAAACTCACTGCCATCGAGTCGACTCCAGCTCACAGCGACTCCCATTGGGTTTCTGAGGCTATAAATCTTTATGGAAGTAGATTGCCGCATCTTGCTTCTGCAGAGCAGCTTATGGGTTTGAACCACTGGCCTTCTAGTGAGCAGCCAAATAGCTTATCCACTGTCCCAACCAGAGCTCCTGACAATTACTATTAGCAGCTAATAGTCCTTGTCTGTCTACTATGCATTCACTATGGTACTTATTTAATTATCACAACAACCTATGAGGGTAGGTACTGTTATCATCTCCATTTTATGGATATGGAAACTGAGGCTCTGAAAGGTTATTTGCCCAAACACAGCTTGTGACAGGGCCAGGATTCAAACCCAGGCCAGCTTGTGCTTATATTCACTATGCTGAGCTACAAAGCCCTGGGCCAGGGCTGGGGGTGCCTCACAGCTGTACCTGCTCTTCCAGAGATGCTCTAAAGCTGGGATCAAGCAAGCCCTGGCCAGAAGTCTTGAAGAAACTGACTGGGGAATCCCAGGTGTCTACAAAGGCCCTCATGACCTACTTCAAGCCCCTGTTGAATTGGCTAGTCACTGAGAATGTGCGTCAAGGGGAGATCCTGGGCTGGTCAGAATACAACTGCTACTTTGAAGGTTTGATCATCTGGCCCTGGTCCCAGCTTTAGTCCACCCCAGTGCCCACTCTGAAAAACCAAAAAATCAAAACCATAAAACCGTCGAGTTGGATACAACCCATAGTGACCCCACCTTGGGTTTCCAAGGCGGTATCACTACGGAAGTAGATTGTCCAATCTTCCTTCCCAGTGCATGCTCTAACCCTGCCTTAATCCCTAGCTCATCTATGACCTGGCTTGAAGCAGCACAACACTGCTGTGGCCTCACCTGTACCAGGTGTGGTGCAGCCTCAACCAAGACCATAGCCCCAGCCAGGGCTCTGTTGCTTCCTTGGGCACTGTTTTACCAGCTAGATTGACAGGCTGGCATCTGAGCCCAGGATCAATATCTTGCTTCCTGAGCCTTTCATGGAGCCACTGCTAGGCCCCTTGGGGATATGCAGCCCTACCTTCCCCATCTCCTCCTCTTCTTCCTTCTACTCCTCCTTTTCCCCCTTTTTCTAGGGCAACACCCTTGCCTATGACTTGAAAGTAGGTGCCTAAGTCTGAGGGAGAAGGCCAGTGGAAGTCAAATCCTGCCTGACCCCAGGCCCCTCCCTGGTTTCACCTGCTCTATCAGCCTCTGTGTCTCCCACAGGAGAAGGGACGGATACAGTGTCATTCCTGGGTCTGCAGCTGAACACTGACCAGGCCAAGAGGGGGCAGTGGGTGCTGCTGGTCCTGAGTCTTGTCATGGCCCTCACGGTCCTGATGCTGGGCTGTATCCTGTACAAAAGGTCAACAGCCCAGGACACTGGGGCCTACTTCCTAGGCATGGCCATGGAGCCCCACCAGGCAGCTCAGGGCCAGTGGATACTGCTGGGCTTCTGCCTCCTCTTGATCGTGTGCTCAATCAGCCTGACCATCATGATCTTCATACAACACAAGAAGCCTCCATGGATGAGAGCTGAGTGGTGGGGTATGAACTAGACACGAGTGAGACTGGTAAGTCGGGGTTGGGCAGGAGGAGGGTGGCCAAACCAGAGAGGGCTGGGCACAGGGGAGGAGACAGCCTGTGAATGGGTACAGCTGGGCAGAGCTGGATCCACGTGGGGTTGTAATTGTGTTTGCAAACTCATGTATGCTAGGTCATGCGTACAAACAACTGTGATTTCTTGGCACCCTGGGTGTCAGCCCAATCCCCTTCCCCTCGGGGCTCAGGAACCACAGGTTTGGTGACTCAGTGGCTGTGTCCCTCCAACCCAGTCCCCACCCAATTCATTTTCAGGACTGGCTCTTCACACAGCCTTGTTTTCTTCAGGAGTCCTGGCTGTGGGGCTGGGCGGGGCTGCTTGAGGAGTCTGCTCTGGTTAGAAAAAGACACTGCTTCTGCCCCCTTATAAAATATGCTCAGGTGGACATTCCTTTATGAATCACTGGTGCTCAGCTCACCGACACTGGGCTCTTTGTACCTGCGGACACACCTCTCTGCCGATCCTCTTCCCACCCCAGGTCGGGCTACGTAATCCAGCCTCAAAAGCTGCCTATTAAAAAAAAAAAAAAAAACCTCCCTATAGGCCACCTGAGATGCATGTAGCCTCACAAACTGCCCTGTGGCCCTCCCTGCCCCAGCCCAGGCCTTCCCGAATGGAGACAGTGGGCAGCTAGGCACTGAGCCAGGCCTGATTAATGATTGACTTCTTTAATATTTAAACAAAGCTCATCTCCAGCCACTTCACTCTGGAGATGGCCCTGTTCAGCACACACACCTGCTGCCTGGCCCGTTGCCCTGGGAAGCGAGCAGAGGGCAAATAGCACCTTTTCAGGCTCAGTGGGGGAGGGGCAAGGAGGAAGGGCTGTAGAAGGACACGTGGGATTGAGCCTCTAAGGATCATAAACCTGGGAAGGGAGAGAGAAGGCTCCAATCCATGCCACGCCCAGTATCTGGGGACTCACCAAGTCTGGATCGAGGCCCCATTGGTTCCTGGGGAACCTGAGGGGTCAGTGCCTATCAGAGGTTGAGGGGTGGCCTTGAGGGGAGGTAGCATCATAGTACCCACACAGGAGTACTGGGGATGCATTTGAGCTGGTGGAAAGGTGACCAAAAGTTGGGACCAGCTCCCTCTAGAGTAAGGACCTGAGCCCAGAAGTCTCAGACCCTGCCTTTGCCCAGGTTTTGAGACACAGGAGGTCCTGGGTGGTACAAATGGGTAAGTGAAAGCTCAATGGTTTGAATCCACACAAAGGAGCCTCAGAAGAAATGCCTGGTGATCATCTTCTGAAAAGTCACACCCTATGTGCAGTTCTGCTCTGAAACACATGGGGTCATCATAAGTCAAAATCAACTCGACAGCAACTGGTTGGTGTTTATTTGGGTTTTTTTTCCCTGGAGTCCCAGCTGAGCCCAAGCACTGACCACCCCAGCTCCAGGATCCTTATTTAATGTCTCTGTCAGTGCTCTTTCTTTGCTGTGGCATAATGTCCTTATCTGTCTATTAGTAGCTATTAGCTTAAGGGCAGGGCACATGTCGAGAGTGTTCCCTCTGTGTAACAGCTAGTCCCTCCCAGGCCAGGGCACATAGTGGGGACATGGAGAATGTTTGAATGAGTGAATACATGAATGAATGGGCATCACCCTGACCCAAGCCCTACCCCGAGCTCAGCACCCATGCACTGAGCCCATGAGAAATAGCCCCACCTTTCCTCCACAGCCAGCCTGCCCTTCCACACACAGGGGCAGCCAGGACACCTCTTACCCCAGGAGGCCACACTTGCAGCCCTCCCATCCCCCTGCTACAGTGGTCAATGAAGCCCCCACAAGGCATTGTGGCTCTTCAAGGCAAAGGCACACCCAGCCCAGGACTAGAAGCCTCTGACCTGGACTCCAGCAAAAACGTCACTGAGCCACCTTGTCCACCTTCCCTCCTCCACTCATCATTGTAAAGTTTATTTCACCAGAATATGTCTAACTGCCTAAGAACTTGTCTTTTACCAAGGTAAATCATCAATTAAATCTAGATGTTAAAAATGGCATCTGGAGTCTTCAACGGTTACCCCTTTTCTCCAGCCTCACCTATCCCACCCCCAGCTCAGTCCTCTACACTGACATCCCCCCATTGTCCTTTGCATACCCCACTTAAATGCTTGCCTTAGAAGGTCTGGCCAAAACTGGCCCTTGAACCTTCTGTAAAGCTTGAAGGCCATTCATTCTCAGTAAGCACAGTGAGCATTGGTCCCTTTTCTCTAAGAAACCTCTTTTGATAAACTTTACCCTATCCCCATCTGCTCCTTGGAGTGTGCTCCTGTTCAGTCAGCACTCAGCAACTTTATTCAGTGGTCGCTTGCTAATAGGTGGTTTTAAATCTATTCTCCTTTCAAGTGGGGCTGGGTTTGCTAAGAGCGCTCAGGATTCTGTGGAAGGCACTTTATTTCTTATATGCCTTCATGTGCACTCTTTCCCCATCCTTCTTGGAGGGAGCATTACGTGGGCACTGGGGTTCAAGGGCAGTCTACAAGGGCGGCCAGGAGGCCTAATGGGCCCAGCAGTCAGACTCAGAGAGAGCCAAAGACCTGAGTCCCGCAACAACCCCATCTGCCCTCTTCGCCCGCTCACTCCCCTGTCAGGAGGGGATCAGAGAGGGGCTGGAGCCGCCAGCTACTGGGAGAAAAGCAGAGGCTTCTCAGAGAAGTCCTCATCCCAGTCCCAGGACCCCCGTCCCGCCCCCTACGAGTCAGGCCCTGCCCTGTGTGCGCGGTCCGGAGAAGTTGTTCCCAGTCCGCCGACCCTGCCCCGCCGCCGCCGCGCCGCTCCTTTCAGCACCGCGGGGCGGACAGCTCCCGGGCGGGCGCAGCTGGGAGGAGGCGCCGCGAGCTGCAGGCCGGGGAGGGCGAGGAGGGCAGGGGAGGGCCGAGGCGGGCGGGCGGGGCACGGAGCCCGGCGGCCCTCCCCCGGGGCGGTGCCCACCGGGAGCCGGACGCCGCTGAGCCCGAACACAGGCGGAGACGCGGGGAGCAGGGGCCCTGGTGGCTCCGGTCAGGGACCGGAAGGATGCCGGTTCGCAGGGGTCACGTCGCGCCCCAAAACACTTACCTGGACACCATCATCCGCAAATTTGAGGGACAGAGTGAGTATGTTCATTGGGATGGGGGGAATCATCTGGAGTCCTGAGAAGTTGGCAGGAGGGGCTGAACCCCTTTACAAACTTCGAATGGGGGAGGAGAGAGAGTGCCGGATGCTGGGTGCGGAAATTCTTCGATGTCCCCAAACACCTTGTCCTCCAGCGGGACCCACTTGTCTCGAAGCCCTCATCCCAGCTGGAACAGGAGGAGCAGAGCACTGCCCCCCTTCCCCACCCCAGCTGTCTGTCTCCTGGTGCCACAAGCCCTGGCCTCCCCATCTAATCACTGCCCTACTTCCTTCCCTGCCCCCCCCCACTGCCTCCAGAAACTTCCTTGACTCCCTGCTTTTCACCCCATGTCCCTGACCACTTGGTCTTCCCAGGCGCTCTCACCAGGGCCAACCCCCACCCATCTGGTCACATCACTCCCCCTTCACTGCTTCCTTGGAGCCTTGAACCTTCTCTCACCCTGCCTCACCGATCCTTCCCACCCTGGTCTTCCCACAATCTCCAGGCCTGAGGACTCTGCCTGTTCCCCCTCCTGAATCCCCATGACCTTCCTCCATGACCTGACCTGCTTGGTCTTCCCACCCTCTGCCTTCTCCCACTCTGGTTACTGCTCCACTCCCCATCCAGACCCCTCTTACACCCTCCAGAAGTCCCCATTATCTTTCCCTCCCTGCCCCCCAACCCTGGCTGCCATGGTCTTCCCACCCTACCTTCCACCCCAGGTCGTAAATTCCTGATTGCCAACGCTCAAATGGAAAACTGCGCCATCATTTACTGCAACGACGGCTTCTGTGAACTCTTCGGCTACTCACGCGTGGAGGTGATGCAGCGACCATGTACCTGCGACTTCCTCACAGGCCCCAACACCCCGCGCAGTGCTGTGTCCCGCCTGGCACAGGCCCTACTAGGGGCTGAGGAGTGCAAGGTGGACATCCTCTACTACCGCAAGGATGGTGAGGCACCCTTGGCCTGAGATTTTGCAGGGCAGTCTGGCTCCTCTCATGTCCAGCCAGGGTGGCCTTAGGGAGGGCACAGACCCAGGGACCAAAAGGCCTAGACAAAGCCCCTCTCTCTTGGCCTCAGTTTCCTCTTCTATAAGGTAAAGCAATGGACGTTGGATGCCATGCCTTCCAGGGACTAGATACCAGAAAGCCACCAAGTGGCCCTGGCCTGTAGCAGGGCCTCCTGTTATATCATCCCTCCCCCATGTCCTCAGTCTCCTGCCCACTCTGTCACTGTCAGCCCCAGCTGTCAGACAGCAGGGATGGAAATTGACCTTCCCTTTTCTCCGTCTGCTCTGGGGATTAGGGGAGGAGTTGCCCCCCTCAAGGTCTCTGTAGCCAGGCAAAGAGTGGGGGCTCCTGGCTGGAAAACAGGGGTGGCCTGGCCCACCCAGCCCCAGCTCCTTGGAGAGACGGGGTCTGGGTTTGCTGCAACCCAGAGGCTCATTCCAATGGAGTTTGGATTGTTACACACTGTAAGCTCACTGCAAGCAGAACAGAAGCAATGGGGCCCCACAAAGGGGAGGGACTGAGGACAGAGATCAGTGGTTCCTTGAGACCCTTCTCCCAGGACCCCAGGGTCCCCACTGGAGTTGGAGGGTGTATGGGTGGGAAATAGGATCAGTGCCTGACAGTCCCTTTGAAATTGAGGTCAATGGCCCCCCCACCTGTTTGTGCATCAGCATTACCTGGTGTGAGTTTTCCAAACCACCTTCCCCAGAGAGGCTGACTCAGAAGGTGAGAGATGAGGCCCAAGCAGGTGTGTTTGAAAAAATCTCTCTGGTGGTTCTGACATTCTGCAATGTTCAGGAACCATTAGCTGAGATAAATCCCTTCAATTTCATGGCTGGGGAAACAGAGGCTGAAGGAAAAGGGTTGCCCAAGATCCATTGCTAGAGTCCAAGCTGGGGCTGGAGCCCAAGTCTCTGGATTCTTCCCTCGGTGATGTCTGTTCTGAGAAAGCCCAAGAAAGGAGAAACGACCCCCAACTGCCTCTGTCTTGGAGGTAGGACTTTTGGAGAAGAAAGCCCCCAAAAGTGGAGTTTCCCTGAGCCCACCAGGGAAGGCAGGCAGGACAGGCTCTTTTGGGTGGGAGTGGAGGTGAGAGCCTGGGTCCCAGGGGCTTGATGTATGTGTGGAGTGTGAGTGTGAACATGAGCATGTGTGCATGTGTGTATGTGTGTGGGTTCACGGACTCCTGGGCACTTCTTGGGCAGTTCCTGGCTGTCCTCATGGCCAGGACCCCAAGTGAGTAGCAGGTGTGGAGTGCAGCAGGCAGGGGCAGCGATTAGATTAGGAAGAATCTGGCTTAGTTTGGCAGTACACACGGGGTTAATGAAGTCAGAACATTTTTAAAAGCTATGACCTCACCTCCTCCTATCATAGCAGGGAGAGGTGACAGTCAGGGGAGTGAAAAGGGTCCTGGGGAAACAGGATGGGACAGCAGGAAATGAGGGGACAGCAGGTCCTCTCTGTCACTCTTCTTGGCCCCAGAGCTCTTCCTGGGTGCCAGAAGGATGAGGCTAATCGCAGACTCCTAGGGATGTCAGATTGGGGATCTTGGGGCTCCCTTCAGCATTCCACATGTACTTGGGAGGGGGCGCAGGTTAAGGCTGGGCATTAGCCCCCAGAGATCAGGACTCAGGCCTTTATAATCCTGCTGGGTTCCATTATTCTAAGGGAAAGATGTGGTACTCAGATAATTTGTTTTCACTTTATGATCCACTTTGACCACATGATCCTTTTATTTATTTATTTATTCTTTTAAATCATGTTCATAAGCATCTTACAATCCTACTGAGGAGTTTCCCAGTGGTGATTTCTTCCAGCCTGAAATTGATACCTCCTTTCCCCTCCCTGACTTCAAAGAGGTGGGAAGGGGTCCTGAACGGAACTCTAGATGGTATTTCATAATCCTCTTTTCCTGTAAAGGGGTAATTCATGACAATTCTCCAAGTCAAAGTAGCTCTGTGTTCTTATGTCTCCACATTATATGTTGTTGTTGTTATGTGCCGTCGAGTCGGACCCGACTTATAGCGACCCCTCCTTGGGTTTCCCAGGCAGTATCACTACAGAAGTAGATTGCCCCATCTTCCTTCCAAGGAGTGGCTGGTGGATTTGAACCGCCAGCCTTCTGGTTAGCAGTCAAGTGCCTTATCACTACTTCCATAGTGATACCACAACAACGATAGAGATAAAGGGGCTCTGGTAACATAGTGCCTAAGGCACTTGACTACTAACCAGAAGCAACCCAAGGAGGGGTCGCTATGAGTCTGACACATAACAACAACAACAACAGAGATAAGGAGCAGTGGGCATAGGGGTAGGACTGAAACCAGTTAGAGTGGAGGGAGGGATGGAGAGTTCTCATATCCTCCCACTCCTACTCCCACCCCTACTGAGTTACTGCCAGAGGCGTCCAGCCCTACCTGCCTTGCTGGGTCCCCTTCTCTTATGATCCCAAACCAGAGATCCCCCTAATGCCCAAGCCAGATTGGAGGGGGCCTAGGGAAGCTTCCAGTCCTCAGCTTCAGAGGCAAGGGCTGAGGTCTGAGACCACAGTCTGTCCCCACTCACTGATTTCTGCATGCTCGCCCATGAATGCCAGGAGGACCACACTGGGAGACGGCTGAGAGCAGCCACCTTCTTGGTGGCAGTTTTTTGTAGCACTAGCTTCTCCCGGAGATTCAGCACAGTGCTGGGAGGGTGTGCATAAAGACACAGGTGAAAGACAAGATGGAGGCTGTGTAGAGGAGCAGGCAAGAACCAGAGCAGGGAGAGGGCAGAGTAAGCCAAGAGGAAAGGAAGACGCACATGTGAGAGGGAGAGCAGAAAGAAGTGGGGTGTCTGGGGCAGGCGGGGAGCAGACAAAGCCTCTGCCCTTGGGCAGAGATGTGGGATGCCAGGAGGCGTCCCCACAAGGGAGAAAGGAGCAGAGACTGGCTCCTCCTCCAGGCACAGGGGCAAGCGATATGGCCACTCCTGCCACACTTGCCCACTTCTGGCCACCCAGGCATGGAGCTCTGAGTCGTGGGTGGGCAAGGATAGCCAGAGAGCAGGGGAAGGAATGTTCAGGACTCACTTCCAAATTCTCATCGCCTCTCTCTGCCCACCCAGCAGGCAGCAAGCATGGGGGTGGGGCATGGGTGCCATGCACCCTCTCCTCTGCCTACCTTCATCACCGTGATGGGCTGGTCTTTGGTCTGCCCTCATCATCAGTGTTCCACAACAGAATCAGTGGATGGATACAGCTACTCTAAGACCAGGCTTGGCAGCTCCCAGCAACATAGAGAGCCCAGAGCCTTGCCCTCTCCCTGCCCCCTGCCAGCCCAGTCTCTGCAGAGCCAGAGGGATGGAGGATAGAGTCTGGTTTGGGGTGGGGGTGGGGGGTCAGTGTCTCAGGCCACTGGCCAAGGAGGCATCCTGGCTAGGCCCCAGTGCCCAAGCCTTGCCATGCTCGCTGGCAAGAGTGAGTTCAGGGCTCTCCCTCACGGGGAGCCCAGGAGTGGGTGAAGCCAGGCCGCGCCTCGGTGTGGACATCTCCCTCGAGGCCCAGTGCAGCAGCTGGCAGATAGCTGCCCGGTGCCTGGGAGTCCAGGAATCTGATCCAGGAGATTCCTGCCCCGGGGAGGAGGGTGGGGTGGCTTACTTGCACCCCAGCGCTGAAGGCTGTGAGGAGGGCCTGAGAGCATTGAGTGAGGGTTCTGGGGGAAAATAAGTCCAGTAGTCCCCAAATTAGCAGTTCTCACATTTAGGAAGCTTCTGTCATTCAATTAATCCACAAACACCTGGGACAGGTGCTGGGCTGTTGTCAAATGAGACAGACCCAAGCCTGCCCTGGGGGGCTCTGCTATCTGATTTGTATGCTCTCCTGAGGCCCCAGCTCAGTAGGCACTTGCCCTCTTGGCTTGACCCAGCCAGGGTCCGACATGGGAGGCATGGGGACCCATGTCATGGAGAAGGGGCTTACGGGACGCCCATCCCAGGGCCTGGAGTCTGGTGAGGGAAGGAGGAGGCTGGTAGGAGGCGCCTCCCACCATTCTCCCTGCCCTCTTGGGTGGCCTAGCCCCTGCGGCAGCCCCACCCCCACCCTACCCCATGCTTCTGGTGCCACATTCTCCACATCCTCTGCCTTCTCTCCCTGCTCCAGGGTCCCAGCTCCTTATGAGCTAAAACTGCAACAGATTCTCAGAGCTCAGCCTGTTTTAGCTCATTAGGAGCTGGGACCCTGGAGCAGGGAGAATGGTGGGAGGGGCCCCCTACCAGCCTCCTCCTTCCCTCACCAGACCCCAGGCCATTGCGCTGCCGAAACCGAAACCGGGTCCTCCCCTCTGCTACCGCCTCTGCCTTGAACCGTGGGCCCCGCCCAGGGCCCTCATAGCAGCCTGGCATCCTCAGCCAACGGTCTCATCCCTTGCTGCTCTGAGTCACTGTGTGTGAGAGCCTGAGGCAGCCCTGGGGTAGCCATGTCCACTCCCAGCCCAGCAAGTCCGTTTCTCAGAGCCTCACGCTCTCTTCTGCAGAACAGGAGTCTCTGCCCACCCCCCGGGGTCTCCTGAGGCCTAACGTGCAAACTGGCTTGGTGCCAATGTTTGATGTTTTCTCCACAAAGTCCCCCCAGCTTCAGGCGAGCAGGGCACCTTGTGGGGTGGGAACCCCCCATTAATCTATCCCATCTGCTTGGCTTTAATTACGGCAGAAGCAAAGGGCTGAGCTGAGCTGAGAGCCGAGCATGGATTTGGACCCGATGCTACGTTACCTCCTAATATGAGCAGCTTAGCTGCTCTCCCACCCCTGCCCTGTGGGTGGGGACCTGCTGGACAGCTTCACTCACCTCTACCAACAGCCCCTGGTCACTGCCCAAGCCTCCTCCCCACTGTGGCTGCCCTTCACCTGCCCTTACCCCAGTCCCTTCCCTGGCTGCCCCTGGCTGGACCACTGAAGGAGGGGACCCTTTTAGTGACCTCCCAATGTGTTTGCAGCCTCCAGCTTCCGCTGCCTGGTGGACGTGGTACCCGTGAAGAATGAGGATGGGGCCGTCATCATGTTCATCCTCAACTTTGAGGACCTGGCCCAGCTCCTGGCCAAGAGTGGAAGCCACAGCCTGTCCCAGCGTCTGCTGTCTCAGAGCTTCCTGGGGTCTGGTGAGGCAGGGTGCAGGTGGCAGGGGAGAGGCCAGTGGGGGGGGTTCCAGGCAGAGCATTTGGTCCCGTTCCCCACCCCAGCCCCCATCCTGGCTGCTCTGACTCTGGCCTGCTTTCAGAGGGCTGTCATGGCAGGCAAGGCGGACAGGGGCCTGGCACGGGCAGAGTCAAGTACAGGACCATCAGCCAGATCCCACAGTTCACGCTCAACTTTGTGGAGTTCAACCTGGAGAAGCACCGTTCGGGCTCTACCACAGAGATCGAGATCATCGCGCCCCACAAGGTGGTGGAACGGACCCAGAACGTCACCGAGAAAGTAACCCAGGTGCAGGCCGTGGGGCAGAGCGGGCAGGGCCGTGCCAGGCCTCTTGAGGGCTCCTTCCCAGACCCTGGGCCCAGGCTCCTCTAGGGCCTTGGCCTGCAGAGGGATCCTGCTGGTCTGCCCCTGGAGTCCAGTGAGGGATTCCATGAGTGGGAATGACTGTGTGGTCGAGGCAGGGAGAAAATCGGAGAAGTGGCACCAAGTCTTCAGATCAGGGAGGGCTTCCTGGGGTGAAGGCTGAGTAGGACGTCGGCACAGGAAGAGGACAACTGTGGCCTGGAGTTGGGACGTCAGACCAGGGACCTCCTGGTTGAAAACAATCTTCTCGTGGGCCGTCCTTGTTGTCCCTCCATGTGCAAATTGATCTGGTTTGCAAGATCAAAGCCTTAGACTGCAGATTTGTTTAAAGCAGGACTGCCCATTGGGCCCCATCTTGGTGGGAGTGCAGTCAGTGGGGTGCCCCTCAGACCCCAGCCTTGTGGGGGCAGTGTAGGATGAGGATGTAGAATGAGGGCGCTGGGTGGGAAGAGGAATGATCTCACAGATAGGCCGTGGGGCATCTGGATTGGTCATCTCATTTTATCACAACCCCGTGAAGTTTGCTGTCCTTTCTTATCCCATTTTGCAGAGGGAACAGAGGCACAGAGAGGTTACACACTTGCCCAAAGGCACACATATAGCAAATGGCAGAGCTGGGATTCAAACCCCATGCTTTCCTAATGCCCTGGCAGCTGGACAGAGCCTAGAATGTAGGTGGGGCTGGCTCTGGGCATTCTCTGTGGCTACAGGTTCTGAGGTAGAGGCTAGGATGAGAGGAGAGGGAATGATCCAATCTCCCCTTGGACATGTGTGAAATCGTGGATCATCCCTGGCACCCAGCAAAGGCCAGACTGGCTGTGTGCCCTCAAATTTAACCCTTTCCATGGAAGCTGTTGGGAGTTGCCCCGGGGAGGGCCCTCACTGGTCCAGCCTCCTTTAGGACCCCCAGAAGTGAAAAAACTATTCTGGGCATGACCCGTGTCCATCAGGAATCCCAACCACAATGGGCCTCCCAAGCAATCCAGAGAGGCTAGACCCACCGAGCCACCCCTCAGTCTCAATCTGGACTCTTCTCTGGAATATGCTTATAGCTGGCCCTGGGCCTGGCCCTCCCTGCCCTCCCCGCTTCCCCCTCCTACCCTGTCTGTGCACTGGCCTGTTCCTGAGGGAGCTTGTGGATTTCCAGCCTAGGGTCTTTATGGGACAGAGCTGCACCCCTTCTCCTGTCTCCCACCTCCTCTCTGCTCTTCCTCCCTACACACCTGTCCCCTTAGGAACTTGTTTCCTCATCCCCTGTGCCCTTCACAGCCTTCATCTCCCACCATCTCCTGCTGGCGCCTTCCACTGCCTCACTCCTACATCCTCACCTTTCCTGGTGGTAGCTGCCCCCACTGACCGCCCATGGCTCCACCCCCAGGTCCTGTCCCTGGGTGCAGACGTGCTGCCGGAGTACAAGCTGCAGGCGCCGCGCATCCACCGTGGGACCATCCTGCACTACAGCCCCTTCAAGGCCGTGTGGGACTGGCTCATCCTGCTGCTGGTTATCTACACGGCCGTCTTCACGCCCTACTCAGCCGCCTTCCTGCTCAGCGACCAGGACGAGTCCCGGCGTGGCGACTGCGGCTACACCTGCAGTCCGCTCACCGTGGTGGACCTCATTGTGGACATCATGTTTGTTGTGGACATCATCATCAACTTCCGCACCACCTATGTCAACACCAATGACGAGGTGGTCAGCCACCCCCGCCACATCGCCGTCCACTACTTCAAGGGCTGGTTCCTTATTGACATGGTGGCCGCCATCCCCTTTGACCTGCTCATCTTCCGCACCGGCTCTGATGAGGTGAGCAGACATGGCCATCCCCGGGACCCGAGTCCCAAGACCTGCCTGGGTGCAGAGTCACTGGCACTGGGCGCCCAGCAAGTGGAAGAGGAAGGGGAGCCCTAGGCTATGTACCAGCCCTGGAGAAAGGACAGGCGAGGCTGTGCCCCCAGGCCCGAGTGTCGTCCCTCTGCTTATCTCTCAGAGCAGGCCATGGTGAGAGGTGTAAGCTCCCAGCAGGCCGTTCTCTGCCTCAGATCTCGGCACCTTCTATGATGGGCACTCCTGCAGTCCCAGCCCCTGGTGCTGACTTCTAAACACCACTCACCTCAATGCAGCAACTCCTCCTCTCGCCCCCAGCCCCTCCACCTCCCCTAACTGACATGAGGGCATTCCCATGCCCTTCTCATGGTTTCCATGTTGTCCTCCTGCCCCATTAAGTCAATTCTGCTCTCTGTGTCCCGATGGCCTCTGCTCCTCACCCCACCCCACCCCCAGCAAAGCCATCCCCAAGTCTTCCCATCTTCTCTCCACCCCACTGCCCCTGCCTGGACACTGAGTGGCCTTCTTACCACCTCCTGCCCCAGCCCCACATACTGGCCTCGCTCCCTCCCACACAGCAGCCAGAAGCAGTTTCAGATCCAGATCACATACCCGGCCCTGTCACTCCCGCCTACCGAAGCTTCAGTGGCTCCCCAAGCTCCTTCTGGACCACAAGGCCCACAGGAGTGGCCCTAGCCCCCATTCTCAGGCTCATGTCTCAGTGTCTCACTGCCTCCTTATCTTCCACTTTGTGCCCTTAGCGGCAGCAAACCACTAGCTTTCTCCCACACCTCCTCCACGCCTTTGCCCCTGCTGCTCAGTCTCCCTCCCTCTGCCTGCAGAGAGCCATGCCCTCCTGTCACTGCGCCCGCAGACGTGGCCGCTCCTCCTCCGTGCTCCACCTGGCCTCTGTCCCAGCAACCACAGCCCTCTTTTGAGCTTTAGGTTGAGAGCACTGCCAAGTGCTGGGCCCAGAGCAGGGTCCACCGTGTCTGTTGAGTGACTGTGTGACTGTATGTGCGAATGAATGAATGCAGGCCTGAGTACCCTTTATCAAGGGCTGACCTCCTTGCTCCTCCAGACGACGACCCTGATCGGGCTGCTGAAGACAGCGCGCCTGCTGCGGCTGGTGCGCGTGGCACGGAAGCTGGACCGCTACTCGGAGTACGGGGCTGCTGTGCTTTTCTTACTCATGTGCACCTTCGCGCTCATTGCACACTGGCTGGCCTGCATCTGGTACGCCATTGGCAATGTGGAGCGGCCCTACCTGGAGCCCAAGATTGGCTGGCTGGACAGCCTGGGTGCACAGCTCGGCAAGTACTACAATGGCAGTGATCCGGCCTCAGGCCCCTCTGTTCAGGACAAGTATGTCACGGCCCTCTACTTCACCTTCAGCAGCCTCACCAGCGTGGGCTTCGGCAATGTCTCACCCAACACCAACTCTGAGAAGGTCTTCTCCATCTGTGTCATGCTCGTTGGCTGTGAGTGCCACCTCATGCCACATGTGCCATGAGTCTTACTGTGGAATTGACTTTCTAGTACTGTGTCATAATGGGATATTGTTGTATGTACAAATGGTTAACACGTTTGGCTGTTAACTGAAAGGCTGGAGGTTCAAGTCCAACCAGAGGCACCTCAAAAGAAAGCCCTAGCAATCTAATTCCAGAGAACCAGCCACTGTAAACCCTGTGGAGCACAGTTCTACTCTGACACACAGGGGGTTCCATGAGTTGGAGCTGGCTCATCAGCAGCTGGTAAACGGGTAAAAGATATAACATAGGAACCACGCACGCGGTGCATTGATTCTGAGTGCAGCGCAATGAATTATGCATGCGATGTAACACACATACAGCCCTTGCTACATGCCAGGCACTAGGACTGGCTACATAATTTGTGGGGCCAGGGTTGCTTATAGGGTCACTATGAATCAAAACCAACTTGATGGCAGTGGGCTTGGTTTTGTTTTTTTAGTACAAAAGAGTTGAAATCAACCTAACAGCACACCGCAACAGTGCAAAATGAAAATGTGAAGCCCTTGTTAAAAAAAAAATATTTAAAATGTTCAAGATAAGTGATAGCTGAGCATTCGACCAAGTACAGGACTCTTCTGAGCACAGGGCCCTGTGTGACTGCGTGGGTCACAGGCCCATAGTACAGTCCCCTGCCAGGCGCTCTGCCAAGCACTTTATAAAGGGCTACATTTTATTCCCATCACAAGCTAATGAGGGCTGTATTATGAGCTCCAGTTTACAGATCAAGAAACCAGCGTCCTAACTCAACAGAAGTTACACACCCAGGAAATCTTAGAGTCCCAAATCCAACCCAGGTGGCCGGCTCCAAGGGCTGGCTGCACTTTCAGCTCCTGCAGGCTGCTGCCTGCCTCCCAAGACCTGGTTTAAAAACACACCCAGCAGGGTGGAATTTTACACATAGACTAAGTTGTTATGTTCAGAGTATTTAGAGCTGTGAAAGCCCAGAAAAAACAAAAACAACACAAAAAAACTGGTGAAAACGAGAGACCAAGAGTTGTCCCTTTATTATGTTTTTGCAACTTGAAGAAGAAAACAAATCTGAACTAAAATAATTCATTGCCCTAGTTCTTTTTTCCCAGGAGTTTGGCCCCTGAGCCCAAGAAGGTGCTATTCCAGAAGCAGGGAGCAGAGAAGGAGGAGGAGGAGGAGGAGGAGGAGGGCAGGAAGCCCCAGGGGACTTTGTCCCCCGCGTGCCCTGGTGCTGTCCTGGGCCACCTCTGACTTTGCCCTGAACAGAGGGGTCCCTGACCAGGGGGCTTCCAGCTCCTGGGAAGAGGGGCCAGAAGCGGGCCATGGGGCGGTAGGGCGTGGTGGGGACCCGGGAGGACGCGGCTGGAGCTCACTCCCTACCCCCTTCCTGCCCCCCAGCCCTCATGTATGCCAGCATCTTCGGCAACGTGTCGGCCATCATCCAGCGCCTGTACTCCGGCACCGCGCGCTACCATACGCAGATGCTGCGCGTCAAGGAGTTCATCCGCTTCCATCAGATCCCCAACCCGCTGCGACAGCGCCTGGAAGAGTACTTCCAGCACGCCTGGTCCTACACCAACGGCATCGACATGAACGCGGTGAGCCCCCGTGCCCTGCCGGGAAGGGGCGGGCGACCCAGCTCCTGTCCCAAGGGAGGTCAAGGTCCTGCGGGCGCAGGACGCAACCCCGCTTCCCCGCCCCGGCCACGCCCCCAGGACCGGCCTGCCCGCCTCGCAGGTGCTGAAGGGCTTCCCTGAGTGCCTGCAGGCAGACATCTGCCTGCACCTGCACCGCGCGCTGCTGCAGCACTGCCCCGCCTTCCGTGGCGCCAGCAAGGGCTGCCTACGCGCGCTCGCCGTCAAGTTCAAGACTACGCATGCGCCGCCTGGAGACACGCTGGTGCACCTGGGCGACGTGCTCTCCACGCTGTACTTCATCTCACGCGGCTCCATCGAGATCTTGCGCGACGACGTGGTCGTAGCCATCTTAGGTGAGTGGGGTGAGGGACGTCCTGCCCTGGCCACTCCCTTCCCATTGTGCCCAGAGCTTTAGACCTAGCTCTCAGAATCCTTGAGACAGCGCCCTGCTGGTGAAGTTGAGGCTCTGAGAGGTCATGCTGCTAAGTGGCAGAGAAGGGATTCCGGGCCTTGTTTCTGACTAAGAAGCCCAGGCACGCTCCTAGCTCCTCCCACTGTTGGGGAACCTCAGGGTGACAGGCCAATGGTCTGTCTTGGGTGGAGGGTGGTGCCTGCCGTGCCCCCGTGGAGAAAGGATGTGAACACTGGGCAAGGGCCTGCCACTTCCCAGCTGTGTGTCCTTGGACATGTTGCTTCACCTTTCTGAGCCTCACAGGGTTCTCTCCTGCTGTACCCTCCTCAACATCAGCCTTGTTCTCCCTTATTCTGCACAGCCCCCTATTCCCTCAGCTCTTTCCTCAGTTTATACCTCACCTGGGCCAGCTCCTTGCTTTCCCAGCCTCCACCTCCACCTGTACCACAAAGACCCCCAAAGCTCTGTACCAGCCCCAATCTCTTCTCTGTATTAGCCTAGAGTATTCCATTCCTTCCTGAGTGTGGCCACCCTTATATTACACAGGTAGAATAAATTCAACATATCCCAACCTGAAACTGTCCCACAAAATTGGCTCTTTCAACATCCCCATCACTGTGAACCATCCACAGGCCAGACACCTGGAAGTCAGCCAAGGGGGCAACTGTCTCCCTCTCCCTTACTGCCTGCCCCCCCCACCATCCAGTTAGTCACAAAGCCCTGTCTGTTCCCCTCATTACTACATCTCTGTCTCACATCTCTGTGTCCTCATCCCTGCCCAATCCAATCTTCATCATGCCCCAACCTGGTCAATGTCAGGAACGCCTACCCTGTGTCTCTCCATCTGGTCTACCAACTATACTCCATCTTCCTCCTCCTGTCAGAGACCTGGAATTTACATCCATGCACACTTCTCTTTGGCTTGAAATCCTTCTATGGTTCTCCAGGGCCTGTGGATGTAAAATGTAAATCCCTGGGCGTGGCCACCCTCAGTCCTGCCACCCCCTCTCTGTTACGACATGCTCCAGCCACACAAACTACTTGTTGTTAGGTGTCATCAAATCGATCTTCAAGTCATAGCGATAGTGATCCCATGTGACAGAGTAGAACTGCCCCCATGGGGTTTCCTAGGCTGTAATCTTCACAGGAGCAGGTAGCCAAGTCTTTCTCCCCCAGAACCGCTGGGTGTGTTTGAACTGTCAACCCTTCAGTTAGCAGCTGAGCACTTAACTGTTGCACCACCAGGACTACTTGCAGTTCTCTAAATCTGCCCATCTCTGTCACACCCCCGTGCCTTTGCGCCTGCTGCTCACTCTGCTTGGAGCACCCCACCCTGCACCTCTGCCTGGGGGACCCTGGTCATCCTTCGAGGCTGAGCTCAAGCATGGGCTCCTCTTTGAGACCTCCCCTGCCTCCCGGCCGACCTTAGAAGTGCCATCCACATGGCAGGGATAATAGTTGCTATTAATAATTAAGGAGCTGGTCCAATTTAAGTTTCAGTTACAGGCATGAAATCTTCTCATTCTGTCCTTAGAGGAAATGGACATTAGATGATGATCGTTCATCTGCTGGAAACCTATCACTTTATAATGGTGCTGAGATTGCAAGCTTCTGTTTCATAGGTGACCATGGCGAGTCTTTTCCCTTTCTGGGCCTCAGTCCCCAATCCTTTGAATGAGGAGGTTGGTTGGATGATGCTGAGGCCCCATCCAGGTCTGATGGCCTCTGGTCTTTGATACTGTTCCCCCCATCCTTCTGCCCATGCTATTTGTGGCCCTTGGACGGTGTCGCCAGGCTGAGGGGCTGCACTTTCCTGTGGGAAGAGGAGATCCAATTAATTATGGTCCGTGGCACCTCTGGCCTGGGCTCTCTGCCCCTTGCCCTAACCCTACGGCACTGACCACACATGGATTCTTCTGCCCAGAGTGCTTTTCTCCTGGGCTCCTCCCAAAACAAACACAACTGCTGCTGAGGCAAGTCCAGCTCACAGCGCCCCCGTGTGTGTCAGAGGGGGACTGAGCTCCACAGGTTTCCAGTGGCTGATTTTTCAGAAGTAGATCTTCAGGCCTTTCTTCTGAGGGGCCTCTAGGTTTATTCAAACCTCCAACCTTTTTTGTCCGTGGTGGTGGTGAGAATATACAAGAAAAAAAAAAAAAAAACAACTTACAGCTGTTGAGTCAATCTGACTCTACAGCTGTCGAGTCAATCTGACTCCTAGCGACCCCTCCTTGGGTTTCCAAGGCAGTATCACTACAGAAGTAGATTGCCTAACCTTCCTTCCGAGGAGTGGCTGGTGGGTTTGAACCACCAGCTTTCTGGTTAGCAGTCAAATACCTTAAACGCTATTATGCCACCAGCGCCCCTATACACAGCAAAACATACACCAAGTCAACCATTTCTATTTGTGTAATTCAGTGGCATGGTGATGTTCTTCCAGTTATGCAGCCATTCTCACCCTCCTCTTCTGAGCTGTTTCTCCCCATTAACTTAAACTCATTGCCCCCTAAGGTTCCTATCTAATCTTTCAAGTTGTTATTGTCATTTTGATCTCATGAAAGTACATAGTACTTAAAAGAGCATAGTACTCAAAGTAGACATTTTTTTACTAGTTAAGCTAAGCTATTGTTTGGTTTTTAAGAAGACTTCAGGGATAGTTTTGGTTTACCGTTTAAAGATTATCTCAGGGCAGTAGCTTCAGGGGTTGGTTCATCCAGCCTCCACAGCTCTAGAAAGTCTGGAGTCCATGAAAATTTTAAATTTTTTTCTGCATTCACCCCACCTTTTGATCAGCATTTTTCTATAGAATCTTTAATCAAAACATTCAGTAATGGTAGCCAAGCACCATGCAGTTCTTCTGGTCTTATGGCAGAGGAGTTGTTCATGAACCCCCAGCCTTTCAGTTAGCAGTTGAGTATTAACCCTTTGCACCACTCAGAGACTCCCCTTGGGCCGCACAACCCCTATTTCACTTTCTCTGTTAAGTGTCCCCTAACTTTCAATGGCAGTGAGGTTTTTTTTTGTTGTTGTTGTTGTTAACTCTTCCTGCCCTCAACCATCCCTGGCGGAATGAGCCTCTCTCCTCCATGGCCCCAAAGCTCTGGTTCTCCCCTGCTCTCAGGCTCTATAGATACTACTCTTGGTTGCTTATATGCCTGTCTTGTGGGGATTTGGGGGGCTCCTCGCAGCTGGGACAGCACCTTATCCATATTTACATCCTGTGATCAGCACAGTGCCTGGCATCGATAGGGCCCAAGCCTCTGAGTATCCATCTATGTCCCCCTGCTGTCCACCCTTCCTATTGCATGCCACCATCCTGGCCCAGTGCTCCTCGGTATTCAAGGCACTTCAGGAGCATCACTTATTTCCTCTGCTGCTCTGAAGAGCTCAGTGGGCTAGACAGATCAGATGTGACAAGGCAGATGCCATTAAAGATGAAGACACTGGGCTCCAAAGAAAGGTGTGACTTGCGGGCTCTCCCGACCAGGGCCATGGCGGCCTCCCTGGCCCCACAGTGAGGAGTGGGGCACAGGAAGCAGAAGCCCCCAGCCCTGCTTCTGGGTGTTTCCAGCCCAGGACTCCCAACAATTCAGCAGAGATGGGGAGGACATTGAGCAGGGAGCCTTTGGTGTCCCTTCCTGCCCACTGTCCCCTGGGTGGGGGTAGGTCAGTGCTAAAGGGCAAGGACAAAAGAGGGAGGATTCTGATAAAGGGTGGTCCTGAGAGACCTGGAAACAGTACAGTAGGAAGACCCACATGCCAGGGGTGAGGGGTGTGAAGCTCAGAGGATAGGGGAAACCACACCCCTCTTTCCGCCTCAGCCAGCACACCAATCCCCATCCTCAGAGCTGGATTCTGACCACCAGGCCCCAGCCTGGCAGGATGCCTGAGGTGGGTGGGTGGGAGGTCCTGGTGAAGGGGCCCTCAGGGGGAGCTTCAGGGAGCTCACAGCCAGACCCTGGAAGGATCCTTGCCCCTTCTGGCTGGCAGGGAAGAATGACATCTTCGGGGAGCCTGTTAGCCTCCATGCCCAGCCGGGCAAGTCCAGCGCAGACGTGCGGGCACTAACATACTGCGACTTGCACAAGATCCAGCGGGCAGACCTGCTGGAGGTGCTGGATCTGTACCCTGCCTTTGCGGACAGCTTCTGGAGTAAGCTAGAGGTCACCTTCAACCTGCGGGACGTGAGTGGTGGCCAGCGGACCAGGGCTGGTGGTGGGTCGGGGATGGCCACACTGCAGGGATATTCAGCAGCCTGCTGAGAGCCTAGCCTATGGGGACCCCACTGATTGACCACTGCCTTCCCTCAAACCCCATCCTGCATCCTTTGCTATCTTCTCTTTTGTGCCTACCATGGCCGATGCTCAATCAGTGTAATCCTTGTTGCCACTTAGTGAGCACCAGCTACATGGTAGCACTGAACTAAGGACTTGGTTTGGACCATCTCAGGTACTCCTCGCCTTGCAAACGGTGTTGGTATCCTCATTGTCCAGAGGAGGAGACTGAGGGTCAGAGAGGCTCAATTAAATTGCCCAGCGTCCCACAGCCAGTAAATGGCAGAGCCAAAATGTAAACTTAGCCATTTACTTAGCCAGGTTCTTGCCAGCACATTGTACCAAGCTGGGAAGGAGGGTGTCTGCCCTTCAGAGGCTCATGGCGCCAGGCACAGGGGGTAGAAAGAAGTGGCAATAAAACATTCTCTCTTACATTTATCGGGAGCTCTGGTGGCATAGTGCCTAAGTCATTTGACTGCTAACCAGAAGGCAGGTGGTTCAAACCCACCAGCCACTCCTCAGAATGAAGTTTGGGCAATCTACTATTGTAGAGATACTGCCTCAGAAACCCAAGGAGGGGTCACTATGAGTTGGGTCTGACTCGATGGCAGTGAGTTTGGTTTGGTTTGGTCTTACATTTATCAGTGGAAGGGTCATGCAACTCAGGAAAAACAGCCACACAAGTCAAATAATCAAGACAGCCCATGCAGTGGGAGTGTGTTAGGGTCTTCAGCTCTCAGGAGGGGCTTCGTGAAGGGGGAGGACTGGAATCAGCTAGTGGGGAGGAGTGGGGAGATCTGTCAGGCCAGGGGCAGTGGCTGAGACCCTGCCCTAAGAGCTTCAGCACCTCCCCTCCTGGCCACCCCTGTCCCCATCCCCTGCCACCCAGGAGGAGTGGCTGTGCCAGCCTAGGCGCCACTCTCAGCTTCTAGAGGGTAGGGCTGAAGTGGGTTTTCTTGCTGTGGACAGCCCTCTCACCCTCTGTGCTCATCTCCCCCACCTCTAGTCTCTCCCCTTCCCATCTCACCTGTGCAGGAGATATCTATAAGGACCCAGCCACTAGGAACCATCACGTGGCTCAGTGGCTGGACATTAGGACAGGAGGGACATGGTCTCTGTGGTCTGCTGTTTAGGGTATCTCCTGGGTGTTCCAGGCCCAGCCTCCTCCGAGGAAACCTCCTCGGCCCATGCAGGGGTGGTGCTCAGGCATTTAGGGAAGAGGGTCTGGAAGAGCAGCTCTCCCACCTTCTACCCCCAAATCTCACAGCTCAAGATAGCTTCTCCCAAGATCTCTGTGGGCTCTGCACATGGCTACTCAGTGCAAGGGTATCATCACCAAGCCTCTGGCAATCTGGCTGCCACTTCTATGCAGGAGGGCACCTGCAAGAAGCTGCTCAGGGCATTGCCCAAGTGCCCAACCCACCTGGCACCCTTTCTTACCTAGATGTCAAAAGGGCCACCTGGGGAGATGGAGCGGAGAACAAAGAGACCCCATTCCAGCTTTGATCCCTGTCCCTTGATGCTCTTGTTTCCTATAAGGCAGATGGGGGTCTCCAGTCATCACCCCACCAGGCTCTGGGCAGCCAAGATCACCAAGGCTCCCTCCTCAATGACAACCTGTCAGGTGAGCAAAGCCAGCCCCTGCCCTGACCCCTGCCAGTGTCTGCCCAGCCTCCTGTCCCTGCTCATGTCCTCTTCCCCTCAGCCCCTCCATGAGTAGAGAAGGGCTCCTTCCTGGGCTCAGGCTCCCAGCCCTGATGGTTTGCGTCCTCAGCGCCAGAGATTGAGGGCTGGCTGGGTGCTGAGTGCTGCCCCCAGGGTTGGATACCCAGTAGCCCCCAGGGGCTCCACAACAAGGCACCAGGGGACCCGCTGGCCTGCAGCCTCCTGGGCAGCAAGACCAGGACTGGGAGCCCCCAGCCAGCCAGCCTGCACAGACAGGGGCCCTGGCCCCGCTCCCAGGGCCACAGCCCCCTGGGCCCTGGAAGCCAGACCTCTGCGGGGGCAAGACTTCTCACTCCAGGGTGTCCAGGTAAGGAGATCCCCTTCCCTCCTTGAGCTTCCGGGGTGGGGGGGATCCCAGGTTCTGCTTGAGAAGGGACAGGCCTGTGGACCAGCCAGACAGGAGCTCAGACTGCCCTGTCCGTCTTGCAGGTACAGCCTCATCCCTGAGCACCTCAGACACGTCTGGCCTCTGGCCTGAGTTGCTGCAGCAAGTGCCCCCAAGGCACAGCCCCCTAAACTCTCAGGCAGGCCCAGATGGTTGGCCTAGGGAGCTAGCCTCACGGCTTGAGCAGCTCCAGGCCCAGCTGACCAGGTGAGTGCCCGGAGGGCCCAGCAATGAGCTGGACACGGGTGCCCCCTCCTGGCGGCTCAGGGACACCACTGGGTATCCGGTGTATTTTAGCGTGGTGGGCCCCATTTGGTGGCGTCTCTATATCACTAAGCACAATCCTTTGGATGTCTCCCCCTAGAAAACCCAAACTGCCAAGGAAGCCTTCTAGGGGGTGGAGGCACAATCATATGCAGAAACATAAATTCCATGGGTCCTTGGAAGGGGCTGTGGCATATGGATGGCGAGGGCAGGGATGAGGTGCTTTAAAGCGGGACAGCTGGGTTCAAATGCTGGCTCCCAGCACACCAGCTAGAGCTGGGCAAGTTACTTAACTGCTCGGAGCCCCACTCTGCTCTTTTGTGAAATGGGTATAAGCAGAATACCCACGTCAGTGTCACTACAGGGACTGACCCATGTATGCATGGTGCATACTCATTGCTATTCTCCAAGTCAGGGATGCACTAAGGGGATTTTGGTCAGGGGCTGCAGATCTTAGTGGGGAAATGGCTTCAGGTAGTCCCCCAGATTGCCATACCACCGGGTAGGAACAGCATGCCCTGCATGCTGTTGGGTGAACTGCTGTCACCCAACCTGACACTGACCCTGCCTGGGGGGCTTTGTCTGGCAGGCTGGAGTCCCGCATGGCCTCCGACCTCAGCCTCACTGACCCTGCCTGGGGGGCTTTGTCTGGCAGGCTGGAGTCCCGCACGGCCTCCGACCTCAGCCTCATCCTGCAGCTCCTTCAACAGCCCCTGCCACAGGACTACCCCAGCTGCATCTTGGGAGCCCCTGACTCCCAGGACCTGGCCTTGTTTCCTGCAGCCTCAGCGACTCCAAGTCCAGGTCCCAGACTGCCCCAGAGCCATCTGCCTCCTGAACAGGTGAGCAGTTGAGGGGACCCCCAGGGGGCTTTCCTGGAGGTAGATGCATGTCTTCCTCCACCCCCATCTGGTTCCAGTGGGGATTCGGGCCCAGGGCCTCTGTGCCCCGGGAATGGCTATGGCTCCTGTCGTCCCTGCTTGTGGTTTGAATCGTGACAGGGCAGCCTGGAGAGGGGCAGTAGCAAAGTCCAGAAGGTGATGACAGACCCCACAGCTGAGGCAAAGGGAACAGGACCCTGTGCTGTGAAGGAGCCCACGTAGCTCCAGCCAGCACCCGCCCCAGAAGTTGGGGTGGACTGACCCACAGCCTGGCCTTGGCCCTCCCCACACTGCGTGCCTCTTTCTTGCCTCTCCCAGACCCCAAGCTCTGGTGGCTTGGACCAATGTAGGCCAATGCACAGGAACTCCTCCAGGATGCAGCACCTCGTCATGGCAACGGACAGACCTCTGACATCATGCTCAGAGCAGGAGCAGCCCCAGCGGCTCCTGTCACCCTTAGCCTCACCTCTGTGTCCCACAGGGGTACAGGGACTCATCAGTGGTCCCCGTTTCCCCTCTCTCCCTGAACACCTCAGCTCTGTCCCCAAGCAGCTGGGTTTCCAGAGATATGGCTCAGATCCTGGACTTGCAGGGAGTTAGATCAACTGAACCCTAAAATAAAAGACTCCATGAGGGGACTGAAGGCGGGTGAGAGTCAAGGATCCTGGAGGAGCAGATGGCCCCAAAATGGGCCTCTGAAAACCATTCTCCTAGAGTAGCTTCAAACTGCTGATCCAGGTGACCCAAGAGTCATGGTAAAGAAACTGGACTTTCCCCAGCCTTCCCCAGGGCTCTGTTTAGACAGCAAGCCTGGTGGAGGATTGGGAGGGAGCAAATAGCTTGCAAGACTGAGGGGTCAGTTAGGTACAGAGAATATCTGATTTTCTGTGTGAGAGCCTTGGTCCTGGCTGGGCGGGATTACCTCTGGCTCAGAACCAGCCCCTGCCTCATGGCCCAGTACCAATGGCCCCAGATCCATCAGGCCTCCTCTGAGAGCCTCTGACCCAGCTGGAGGTGAGGGTGTCCTCGACGGTGGACATGACAGTTCACAGAGCTCCAGCCCTTGGCCGCTCCACCATGGAGGGCTCTGTGATGGCCGTTGGGCCCCTCCTGGGCAGCAGAGTGTTGTGCAGCTAATAAAGTCGGCATGTTTCATGCTGAGCCAGGTACAGCTCACCAGGGAGTCATCAGGTCCTTGACTGTGCTGTGACCCCAACAGCCCTTCTCACAAAGAGCTGCAGGTTCACCTTCCAAATCCACTGTGTTGGGGACCTGAAGGTGGCTCCACTGAGCCCAGGAGCCCCTGCAGCATGGGGCTCTAAAGCCAGACTAAGGTGAAGGGAAGCAGAGAGGCACTGGCTTGGTGACCATCTGGAATCATGAAACTGCCAACACTCTCATGGCACTCACCTTGTGCTGGGGACCACGCTAACTTCTCTGAAGATATGCATTCATTCTGATCCTCCCAACAACCTTCTGGGGTCGGTATAATTATCCCCATTTTAGACAAGTAGAATCAGAAGCAGGGAGAGACTAAGAAGCTTAGCCAAGCATAAGGAGGGACTTCTGGGTGCTGATGTTATTCTGTTTTCTGATCTGGGTGCTGGTTACATGCGTGTATGTTCATGTTATGAAAATATTACACTTCTATGTATAACTTATACTTTGATTTAAAAATAAAAATAAACTTGCCCAACACAGTAGGAAAAGGGGGACATAATTTCAACTCAAGGAGCCCTGGTGGCACAAAAGTTAAGTGCTCAGCTGATAACCAAAAGGTTGGTGGTTCAAACCCAACCGGCTACTCCGTGGGACAAAGACCTGGGGATTGATCCTCTCCTGTAAAGAGTTCAGCCTAGAGGATGTATGGGATAATTCTACTTTGTCGTGTGGGGTCGTTACGAGTCAAAATTCCACTTGTTGGCACCTACAAAATAATTTCAACCCAGATCATCTGGCTTGACAGCCTCTGAAATGTCCCGGAAAAAAAAAAAAAAAATTTGGTGACTCACTCATTTTGTACAAATACTCTCTGAGGGAAATCTGACATCTTTTTAAGTTGACATCTGACAACTTTCTTTGATAAGTTTAAATGGTTGCAAAGGATGTAGTTTCCATTGTGTTGTAAATCTTGACACTTTATAAAACCATTTTGTCCCTCATTTACATTGATCCATTTCAATCCAAATAGCACAGTGATTTGAGAGCTGCTGTGGTAGTTAGGTTTGTGTGTCAACTTGGCTGGGGCTGCATGAGTGGCTGGGCAGCTGGATGTAGTATTCCCCGTGATGAGACTGGTAATCAACTCCATGGTGGAATCTACTGTGAGCAGCTGAGTAGCTGCCTTAGGGATGTGGTCTGCTTCCTTTATTTAAGGAGAAGCCTTGGGGAATGGTCTCTAGCTTATGGCATGCTTGAACCCTGCATGTAGCCATGTTCAGCAGCCTGCCATGCTTGGGACTTTCAATGGACTTGAATTAATGGCCTGCCGTGTGGTTTGGTAACATCAGGACTAGCCTTTTTACTTGTCAACCTTGGGTTTGTCAGCCTCATCAGCCAGCAGCTAAAATCACATTGTATGCTAAAATCACACTGATCATTAAAAACTGTATTTACTGATATCACCTAACAATTCAATACAATCCTTCAATTTTGTGGAAAGCAAATTCTTGGGAACCATATAAAGTCTGAAAAGTTGTTACCCAGGTAGGTTCCGGGTCCTGCATTTTCTCCATTTCAGACTCACAGCACTGATACAGTCAGGGCTTAATTAACATACGCCTTGGGATGCGCTGAGGGGAAGGGATGGGAAGCGACAGAAACTTAGGAACCAAGCTGGTCACACTGCTGCTAATTGAAACCCAACTCGAATTCGGAGCTTTTCTGGAATGGGCAGGAACGTGGTCCTGAACCAGTTGGTCTGCAGAAGGCGTGCCCTTGCACCGGGCTCAAAGGGGCGTTGGGACGAGCGGGAAGGGAGGGTGGCTCCCGTTTGGCGCAGGCTAGGCTGCCAGGCCGCGGGGCCCCCAATTAATGCAGAATTTTACTTTTACTCGACAACGTGGTGAGGCCGCTCAGAATAGGAGCAGCAGAGGGGAGGTCGGAGCAGGTCACGCGAGACCTTTCATTCTCACTTGGCCTAGAATTTGAAGGCCTGCCGCCAGACACGCTCCTCTACACCATCCACGCCCCCATTCACGAGCTCAGCACCGTTATATCGCTGACTGATATCTTTGTCAGCCAATGACCTTTGGGCCTCTGAAAGCTCCTGCTCTCCCGGAATTGGGCGGGGCAGGAAGTTGGAGTGACAAACATTTACGCCAATAGCAAGGAGATATCAAAAAGTGCGGGCATAATTGCCAACGAGGCGAAGGAACTGTTCGAAAGGACATTGTCAGGCAGCCAACGGACGACGACCCTGCGTTGGCCGCGTAGCTTCCGTTCCGAGAAGGAGGGGCGGAGTCCCAAACGGAAGGTGGTTGTTGTCGGTGCCGAAGCTGGTTTGAAACTAAGGCTCGGGCCCGGACGCCGTTGTCTGTCGCCGCGGCCCGGCTTTCGGCCTAGACCGTCCCTGCCCGCCCCTCTTCTCTTCAGACCCCTCGGTCTCAGACCCAGCTACCCGCCCGACTCGCGCCCCGCCCGCTGCCTCCGGCTGCCGACTCGGCCCGCACTGCGGCCCTGCAGCCGCCACCATGTCGCTGCACGGCAAACGGAAGGAGATCTATAAGTATGAAGCGCCCTGGACTGTCTACGCCATGAACTGGAGCGTGCGTCCTGACAAGCGCTTTCGCCTGGCGCTGGGCAGCTTCGTGGAGGAGTACAACAACAAGGTGGGCCGGGCAGGGGCTCGGAACCCAGCTGGCGGTGAACGGGCCCCGGGAGTGCCCTTTCTGGGCCGGAGCCCAAACCTTAGAACCCTCCTACGGACTTGCCTTAACGTCCTGGAGCGGTTTCTAAGCGTCAGGCCTGTGCTGAGGGTTTTGCACGGGTTGTCTCATTTAATTCCGGCAGCATTGGGGAAACTGAGGCACAGTGTTGTGACTTGTTGTGCTAGGCAGCACTGTCGTGGCCGAAACATCTGAAACCCGAATTCACACCCTTAAAGCTATGCTATTTCTCTGGCCATTACCCTCCCGTTCCTGCCGCATTGCTGCCATTTGAGGGGTGGGTGTGGGAGGAATGATTACTTTGAGAGCAGCTGCAGGCGCTTCAGTTGGTGGTCGTTCACTGGAAGTGGCCACAGTGGATTTCCATTGGAGCTGTTTATGGCACGGGCTTCCTACCCCCCACTTCCACCCCCAGATACTATTCCTGGTTCCCCACCCCTGCCTGCTGACCATTCCTTTCAAAACGATCTCTTTGTGGAAATCTGGCCCGTGGCCATGATCCCATCTTTTCTTGCCTGCTTTCACGCTAATACAGGTGGGTAACCTCCAGTAGGACGTCTTTCTGGGCATCCGTCAATTTGAGAGTCATGCTTCATAGAAACACGGGTGGGTAGAAATTTTTTTTTTTTTTTAATTGTGCTTTAGGTGCAGTGGGAGTTCTGGTAGCATAGTGCCTAAGGCATTTGTTAACCAGAAGGCTGGTGATTGAAACCCACCAGCCACTTCTTGAAAGGAAGGTTGGGCAATCTACTTCCATAGAGATACCGCCTCTGAAACGGTTCACTATGAGTCAGGTCCGACTTGATGGCAGTGAGTTTGGTTTGGTTTGGCTTAGGTGCAGCAGGAGAAGTTTTTACACTGGCAGGGCAGCATACATTTATTTTCGGAAGTTGTTGAATAAGGAATTTTCTTTATCCCTTAAGCTCTTCCTTCTATTGTTTTAGAGTATAAATTGTGGTTGGTAGTGATCAGAGCTGTGAAAGGTTTGGCTGGTGATACTTAGAGCCTGTACTCCCGCTTAAACCATGAACACCAGAAGACTAAAATTGTGTAGACAGTGACAGGCACGGTGCAGGGGGCATGGTCTAGGGTCGGGTCCTGCCTGATCCATTGACCAGCTGTGGGGCATTGCACAAGGCAGTTTTATTATTCTTGACCCACAGTTTGTAGAAAAGGGTTTTTTTGTTTTTTTTTTTTGCACATGAACGTCTCATAAAAAGCATTTGAAATGTTTACATTTTTTCTGTATATGGTTTTTCAGGAACACACTGTTTCTCTAGAGAAGGTCTTAACTCCTTGGGAGTCCCCTTCCAGAAAATGTTGAAAACACAGGATTTTTCATTGTCCAGAAACTGCACAGTTTGCAAACTCATAGTAGTACCATCTGATCTGGAAGTCTACCCACTGGCCCCGGAAAGCAGAGTCATAAGCAAAACAAAGCTTTATTCCCTTTTCTCTGATGCCTTTGTGTTCCTTATGGAGTATGGTGGATGGCAGAGCTGGGAGTAGAATTTAAAGACCTGACATGGAAACCATATTAGTAAAATTAAGGCTTCTGGAACTATTGTTTAAGGGTACATGTGATGGGGAGAAAAAAGGGTAAAATGTATCTTCCAAAGGGTGGGAGTCCTTTCACACAAATTGATAAGTTTTTCTTGCAAGAGTTTCCAGTGTTGATTTGGGTAAGGAATCATAGTCCCATTTCTGAGAGGGAAAACTGAGTCACGGCTAGGCTGCCAGTGGAATCTGTGGAGTAATTGATGTTAAACAACTCTGTTGCAGGAACTCTGCTCCCAAGTTCGTCCTTGCATTCAGCAACTCTGTGGAGCTCCTTTGTTGTGTCAGGCACATACGCAATGTGACCGTAGTAGTAAAATGTAAACTAATAAACCCACTAATAGCAGAATAAGCACCCGGTGATACTTTAGCTCTGAGTCCCTGAGTGATGCAAGTGATTCATGCACTCAGCTACTAACCAAAACGTTACTGGTTGGAGTCTGGCAACCTGTTTCCAAAAACCAGTAATTGTAAACCCTGTGGAGCACAATTCTACTGACGACACACATGGGGTCGCCATAAATCAGAGTCAACTCGATGGTAACTGGTTTGGTTTTTCGGTTTTATATTAATTCGTGTGATTGATGCAGTGTCTTAAAACAATTTCTGTGTCTCCACGCATCTGTAGTTCACAAAATTTCTTACCTTTGTTTTGTGTGTGTACGTGTATGTATGGGTGCAGGTGCCATGGACACCTTTGGTGATCTGAAGTCTATAGAACACAGTGACGTATTAAAATGCATAAAATATGTAGGATTACAAAGGAAGCCAATTATATTGAACTATGGGTTATTCAAAAGTTTTTTGAAAAGTGCTATAGTAATAACGTACTTTTAAGTTACCTTTTTAAATTACATCATCGCATGTAATTGTTGCTGTAATTTTGAAATAGTGATGAGGGTGAACAGCTTCTCATAATACATTTAACAAATGTGCTGTGACAACAATGAGTGATTTCTATTGGTGACAAAGTCACAGATCCTGCTAATGTTGCTGTGGGTGACTGCTTCCATTTGTAATCGAAAGAAATGCTAAATTTCAGCTAGAGATTGGTGAAAATACAATTTTTCAATCCAGGGTCATGAACCGCCCCCTCCCCGAAATTAAGAACCCCTGCTGTAGAGGATCTGTGCATGTTGTTGTTGTTGTTATGTGCCGTGGAGTCAGCCCTGACTCATAGCGACCCCTCCTTGGGTTTCCGAGGCAGTATCACTACGGAAGTAG